ATAAGAAGCTTTAGCAGTACTTTTTTTTTTCTTTTTAAATATTGTCTATCACTCAACTTTTGCCAATTCAAAACTTTTTACAGGTATACATCTTACAGCAATTACAATAATCGGCTGTGCAATCCTACCCTTAATCAATGTAATTTTTCCATCACCGTTAACCCTCTATATTGGGTTTTGTGTTTACGAATCCATCTATCCCACTGAACAGAATTCCTTGGGGATAGGGCCCTTCTCTTATTCATTTTTATTCCTCTAGCATCCAACAGAGCTCTTGGCACATAGTGCTAGGAATAAGTGCTTGATAAATGAATGAATGAGGACTGCAATGAATGACAAGGCACTAATGCAAGAAGTATAAATACGAACAATGAAATACAATTGCAATATTCATGTTATGTGAAAAGATTAGCACCCAATTTATAAACTTTATTTAAACTATGGCAAAAGAGGCAAGTATACATTATGTTTCTTATTTATGATGTTTATACTATGAGACATCATAATAATTGAAACTATAGACACATTATAATAGGAGTTTATTGTATTTTTATGCTTACATCTATTTGGACTTACATGCCTCTATGGTGTCTATTCCAATGAGCCAAAATCGCAATCCAATCCAAGGGTATCTGAAAATTTTATCACTGGAGATTGTCGGTTTACGTATTCTAAATGTGTTCTCAACTTTATAAAGTATATTCAGTTCTTGAGTTGCTGTAGTTCTTACCCTAGGAAAAGCTTCTCCCTGTATCTCCAACCATCTGTGCCATTATCTGGAAGTACCCATCCTAATCCTAATCCTGCTTGTCAGATCTCTGTTTGCCCCTCCCTACCTCTGCTGACTTCCTTGTTCTTAACTGTTATCTAGCTCCTCATGAGTGGTAGTTTTAATTCTTTCTGGCCTCTTTCCTGGTCACCTATTTTCTGGTCTCCTAAATGATTCTGTGAAACCCTGGTGGTACAGTGGTTAAGAGCTATGGTTGCTAACCAAAAGGTCGGCATTTTGAATCCACCAGGTGCTCCTTGGAAACCCTATGGGGCAGTTCTACTCTGTCCTGTAGGGTTGTGATGAGTCAGAATCGACTCGACAGCAATGGGTTAGATGATTCTGAATTTACCAGTCGTGGAGTCTTTCTTTCTTTGATCCAGATTAACTCTCATCTGTGCAAATCCTATTGACAGCTCTCCTGAGGTACCTGATAGCAATCAACATCATCATTCTAAATATCCAAGAAATGCAACAAGCTCAACAAAATGCTTTTAAGTAACTATATTCTTAGTCTCAAATACCAAAAATAAAAAAGTTATAGTTTACTGAAATATTTTTTCTCTTTAGGATTTAGGGTAAGGAATTGTCTAGTAACTCAAGAGGTGTTTTTTGTTGTAGTAATGTTAAGTGGTGACCATCACTGAGGAACAGCTTAAATTCACCCAACTGACGAGATTCTATTCCTAGATCCTACAATTCTGCCAGCAAGAAACATAAGCTGGAGAGAGAAGAGTTGAAATTAGAGACTGCTAAGTAATCTTTGGCAACTGTGTGGGCCACATCTAGGTGCGCTGAGGAGAAGGGCCATATTTATTTGGGATAATTTTCTTCTTACTCAAATGTCTATGCTGTTACGAGTCCACATTTTAAAATTAAAAGTTTATTGTTCAGTACCTCAAATTTGAGAAGCAGGGTGGTATAGTGGAAAAAGCATGTAGATTGATCTGGGTTCTAATTTGGCTCTGTCATTTACTAGTTATGTGACTTTTGGCAAGTTCTCAAATTTCTCTGAGACCATGTCCTCATCTGTAAAATGGGAAGAATAATATTTACTTTGCTGGTGGTTGAGATAATGAATAAAAAAGATATTTAAAGTATATGATAGGATGCCTGGCATAAAATAGGCAATTATTTAATGCAAGTTTTCATTAAAGTGTAATTACTTTTTTTTTTTTGGTCTACTTCATCCACATGTACTTAGTCTCAGCACTTCAAGTTGGAGAAGGAAGTGAAATAGATTTTTATTTTAGTTTGAGAAACATGGAATTGGGCTGGTGTGCCAATAGGAGTAAGCTTTTTAGATGAGTCTATTTGGTTTCAGGATGATGTCCAGCTTCATCCTTCACCAGCCTGAGAGAGTACTGCTTGTTCCAGAAGTGCACTGCTGAAAGAGTAGAGTCATACAAAGTCAGGTGTGGGTGTTTCGAGACATCAATCCGAGAACACAGTTTTGGAAACATGGTCTAATGGCCATTCGGTAATATTTGTTTAGTAATTGTACAAAGAAACTCAACTAGACAATGTGAGACAATGCAAAAGAACAAATCAAATAATAGAATTTTACAGCATCAAAAATATTTATGACTGGACTAAACCTTAAAGACTATTATATATTATTAAAGATCGAAATCAAATTCCTTCATTTTATGGATGAAGAAACTAGTGACCCTAAATAGAAAATCCCAGAGACTCCAAAAGAAAGTCACTGGAACTAATAGAAGGATTCAGCAAAGTGGCAGGGTACAAGATCAACACACAAAAATCAGTTGGGTTCCTCTAAACTAACAAGGAGGACTCTGAAAAGGAAACAGAAATCAGTACCCTTTACAATAGCCCCCAAAAGGATAAAATACCTAGGAATAAACCTAACCAGTGACATAAAAGACTTATACAAGGAAAACTATAAAACACTATTGCAAGAAACTAAAAGAGATCTACATAAATGGAAAAACATTCCATGCTCATGGATTAGAAGACTTAACATTGTGAAAATGTCAATACTACCCAAAGCAATCTATAGATATAATGCAATCCCAACCCAAATCCCAAGAACATTCTTTAATGAAATAGAAAAACTAATCTCTGACTATATGGAAAAGAAAGAGGCCCTAAATAGCTAAAGCAATATTGCAGGAAAAGAACAAAGTAGGCGGCCTCACACTTCCAGATCTCAAAACTTACTATATAGCCATAGTAATTGGAACAGCCTGGTACTGGTTCAATGACAGACACGTAGATCAATGGAATAGAAGTAAATCCATCCATCTGTGAGCAACTGATCTTCAACAAAGAGTCAAAATCCATTCAATGGGGAAGAAACCGTCTCTTTAACAAATTGTGCTGGCAAAACCGGATATCCATGTGAAGAAAAATGAAGCAGGATCCATACTTCACACCATGTACAAAAACTAACTCAAAATAGATCAAAGACCTAAATGTTAAAGCTAAAACTATAAAGTTCCTGGAAGATAACATAGGGTCAATACTAGGAGACCTAATTTTCAGTATAAATAGTCTATTAAACAAAACTAACAATGTATGAATGACAAAAGATAAATTAGATAACTATGACCTCCTAAAAATTAAATACTTATGTTCATCAAAAGGTTTTACCAAGAGAATAAAAAGAGAACCTACAGACTGGGAAAAAATCTTTGGCAACAGCATATGTGATAAAGTTCTAATCTCTAAAATATATAGAAAACTTCAAAACTCAACAACAGAAAGACAATCTAATCAAAAAATGGGAGAAACAGGGCAAGATGGTGAAGTCAGTGGACACTTCCATTTACTCCCCCAACAACTAACTCACTGAACAATAAATAAAAACAAGCACAGACTGAGATCTCAGAGTTCAGAGTCAGGGTGAGTCCAGAAGCGGGGAAGAGGAGGAAAGAGGTTGGCTCAGAAGCCGGGAGATCCTACCCGCTGACATCGGAAGTGCTCACTCATTACAGCCATTTTGGGATGGGTCTGGCTAACACCCCAAACACAGAACACAGAAAAGGAGCTAATCTGAGGAAGCTCTAGCCAGATTTTTTTTTTTTTTTTTTTTTTTTACCAAAACCAAACCTGTTGTTGCTGAGTCGATTCCAACTCATAGCAACCCTATAAGACAGAGTAAAACTATCCCATAGGATTTCCAAGGAGCAGCTAGTGGATTGAACTGCTGACCTTTTGGTTAGCAGCCATAGCTCTTAACCACTGCACCACTGGGGCTCTGATTTTTTTTTGTTTAAGGTGGTGTAAATTGGCCATGGGAGTTCATGGGCCACCCATTTGAGAGGGGTGAAGGGAGACCATGGCGTTGCATGAGAGTGTTGGTGAATCTCACTGAGGCACCAGATGGACTAGCACTAGGACCAGGAGGAACTGCAAGGGCAACAGGATGAGGAGAATACTTCACTCTGACAGGAACAAAGGAAATGGCCCATTGTGGGGTACCATGGGAGTGTGTGTGCAGGGGCGCCAGCGAAGGAAAGACATAGAGAGGCCCACACTGTCACCACAGGAAAGTTGAGCACCACCTCTTATGGGAGAGTCTCAGAACAACTAATCCCCCCCCAACACACACATATGGGTATTGAATTCTAGAGACCACGCATACAGAACTCCTGAACCAGCATTGAAAAAAACCTAAGGATAACAGTGCCATCTAGTGGTCCTCAGGAGATGATACCAAGCCTGCTGCTACTGGTTCATTTTGACTCATAGCGAACCTCCGAGGCTGAGGGAAGCTGCCCCGTGGGGTTCCCAGATCTGTGACTCTTTGCGGAGGTGGTCTGTCGCATCTTTCTCCCATGGAGTAGCTGGTGGATGCAGGCCCCAGCTTTTCAGTTAGCAGCGGGGCCTTTGGCTGCTGCACCACCAGCGTGCCCAATCAGACTAAAAAATTTGAAGAAAAAAAAAGATAGCAAAATGGCCGGGGTTCAACAAAAGTTAGTGAAACACATGAAATCACAAAAGAGGAAGGAACAATCAAAAGCAAAACATGAATAAGAGGAAGTCTCTCCTATGGAAGCCAGAACAATGCAAAGAATTGATGATTTTCAGACTATGGCGTTAAATATGTTTAAAGCAAGCAAAAAGCATACAGAAAACAAACTACTGGAGTTCAGGACACAAATGGAGGAACAAAATGGGAAGCTTAACAAAGAAATTAAAAACATCAAAAAAAAAATCAAAGAGCACCATCGCTGCAGCCACCATGGAAGGCGTCCTAGACAAGATGAAGCTTATCATCCTGGAGAACTATTCTCAGGCTAGCGAGTGGGTGGCCAGATATATCAGGAACCACATCATCCAGTTTAACCCAGGGCCAGACAAGTACTTCACCCTGGGGCTTCCCACTGGGAGCACCCCGCTTAGCTGCTACAAAAAGCTTATTGAATACTACAAATACATGAAGACTTTCAACATGGATGAGTATGTGGCTCTTCCTTGAGACCACCCCGAGAGTTATCACTCATTCATGTGGAACAACTTCTTCAAGCACATTGACATTGACTCAGAAAACCCTCACATTCTGGATGGGAACACAACCAACCTGCAGGTCGAGTGTGACTCCTTTGAAGAGAAGGTCAAGGCTGCAGGTGGGATCAAGCTGTTTGTTGGAGGCATCAGCCCCAATGGACACATTGCCTTCAATGAGTCAGGCTCCAGTCTGGTATCCAGAAACCGTATGAAGACACTGGCCATGGACACCATCCTGGCCAATGCTATGTTCTTCCATGGAGATCTCGCCAAGGTGCCCACCATGGCCCTGACAGTGGGTGTGGGCAGTGTCATGGATGCTAGAGAGGTGATGATCCTCATCACGGGTGTCCACAAGGTGTTTGCATTGTACAAGGCCATCGAGGAGGGCGTGAACCATACATGGACTATGTCTGCCTTCCAGCAGCATCCCTGTGCAGTGTTTGTGTTCAATGAGGATGCCACCCCAGAGCTGAAAGTGAAGATGGCCAAGTATTTCAAAGGTTTAATGCTTGTTCATAACAAGTTGGGGGACCTCTTGTACAGTATAAAAGAGAAAGAAGCAGAGAAAAACCAGTCTTCCAAGAAACCTGTGCTGGAACCCAGTGTCAGGTACCTCATCGGGCTGGGCAGGTGTTTTTGGAAATTGTCTTTAGGAGAACAGAATTGTATTTCTTTTATCTAGTACAGTTACTCCAGATAAGTGAGTGAACATGTTGTTTTTGGCTATGAGGGTGGTAGCCTCATCATGGAGTTTAGCTACAGGGAGAATGACTTGCTTAAAACTTATTGTTAATTAGAAAAAAAATCAAAGAGAACAATTGAAACTGAAGAATAAAACATCTGAATTAGAAAAAGCAAGAGAAACACTCACTAGAGTCAAACAGATAGAAGATAGAATAAGTGAATTAGAAGACAAAATAACTGAACTTATCAAAAAGAGAAAAGAACAAAGAAAAGCAAACAAACACAAAAGGAAATGCAGGATTCAATTAAGAAATATAACATTGGAGTTATTGGAATCCCAGAACACCATGACAACAATAAAGCCACAGAAACAATTTTCCAAGAGATAATCAGTGAGAGTTTCCCAGAGCTGAACAGAGAACTAAGCCTGCAAATACATGAAGCTACATGAACCCCAGTCGGAAGAGACACAAAAGGATCAACTCTGTGACATATCCTAATAAAATTCCTGAAAACCAAAGACAATGAGAGAATTCTGAAAGCAGCAAGAAAAAATGCAATATAATATACCAAGAGTCTTCCATAAGAATCTGTGCAGATTTCTCCTCAGAAACTCTAGAGGCCAGAAGACAATGAGCGACATATATAAGATACTGAACAAAAACAATTGCTGACCAAGCATTCTTTACCCAGCGAAGCTGTCAATCAAAAATAAGGGGGAAGAGCAGAGCCAACATGATGCTATAGACAGAGGCACTATGCCATCCTTCTGCAACAAAAACCAAAAAAACTAAGTAAAACAGATATATAAATATCAATCCTGGAACCTTAAGCATCAAATAAAGGAATAAAGAACTTGATGAAGCACTGAATGGAATAAGAAACTGACAGAGAACAGAGAACAAGGAGAGCTACGGAGTGGAGGTCCCCGCCATCTTGGACTACAGCCACCAAGGAACGCAGACAGGGAGTACGGCAAGGCATCTTCACAGAGCTCCCAACAGGAGACAGAGCACCCAGTAACCAGGGATACACCCTTTCCCACCGCCCACCTTTTTTCCCTGTATGAGGCCTGTGCCACTTTCCAATGGGCCACGGTCACTCGGCTGGAGAGACACCAACTCCCTGCCACCTGGATTCACCATCTTGGATCTTAGCCACCAAGGACCAGAGACAGGAAGTTCAGGAAGGCAACTTCAAGGAGCTCCCAACAGGAGACAGAGCACCCAGTAACCAGGGATACACGCTTTCCCATGCCTTACCTTCTTCCCTCTACATGGCCTCTGCCACTTTCCAATGGGCTATAGTCGCTTGGCCAGAGAGAAAACAGCTCACTGCTGCTCGGGTCTTACCTGCCCCCAATGGCCGACCCCTTCAGTGCCATTTTTTGTTTGTTTCATTTGTGTGTTTTTTGATATCTTTTTTTTGGTAGCTTCTCTCTCTCTCCCTTCCTTCCTTTCCTTTATCCCACCCAGCTAGCCCTGTGTGACATCCACTCCCCTTCTTGATGGGCTGTGATTTTTTGGTTTGTTCACTTTGTTCTTTTTTTCTTTTTCTTTTTTTCTGTTTCTTCCCTCTCTCTCCTTTCTTTCCTTTCCTTTCCTTTCTATCACCCACCAAGCCCTGTGCATCACCCCTGCCCCTTCTCGAGGGGCCATGCTGCACTGCTTGTCTGGAGAGTCACTGCTCGCAGCCTCCCCAGGTCTGTGTTGCCATCACCATCCAGCTCCCTCAGTGCCATTTTATTTATTATCATTCTGAAAAAAAGCAGAAGTGGCAGTAATAATCTCAGACAAAATAGACTTTAAAACAAAATCCACCATAAAAGACAAAGAAGGACAATATATAATGATTAAAGGGACATGTCCACCATGAGGACATAACCATAATAAATATCTTTGCACCCAATGACAGGGCTCCAAAATACATAAAACAAATTCTAACAGCACTGAAAAGAGAAATTGACAGTTCCACAGTAATAGTAGGAGACTTCAACATACCAATCTCCATAAAGCACAGAACATCTAGAAAGAAACTCAACAAAGATACAGAAGATCTAAAGGCCACAATCAACCAACTTGACCTTAGAGACATATATAGAACACTCCACCCAGCAGCTGCAAAGTACACATTCTTTTCCAATGCACATGGAACGTTCTCCAGGGTAGACCACATCTTAGGCCACAAAGCAGCCCTCAACAAAATCCAAAACACTGAGATACTACAAAGCATCTTATCTGATCACAACACCAGGAAAGTTGAAATTAATAACAGGAAGAGCAAGGAAAAAAATCAAATACATGTAAACTGAATAATACCCTGCTTAAAACCACTGGGTAATAGAAGAAATCAAAGAGATGGAATAAAAAAATTCCTAGAACCAAACGAGAATGAAAACATCATACTAAAACCTTTAGGACACAGCAAAGGCAGTGCTCAGAGGTCAATTTATAGCAATAGATGCATACATCAAAAAAAGAAGAAAGGAACAAAATCAAACATTAGCTATACAACTTGAACAAATAGAAAGAGAACAGCAAAAGAAGCCCACAGTCACCAGAAGAAAGGAAATAATAAAGATCAGAGTAGAAATACATAAAGAATAGAAAAAGCAATAGAAAGAATCAACAAAACCAAAGTTAGTACTTTGAAAATATCAACAAAATCGACAAACCAGTAGCCAAACTGACAAAAGAAAAACAAGAGAGGACGCAGATAACCCAAATAAGAAATGAAATGGGAGACATTACAACAGACACAGCTTAAATAAAAAGGATCGTAATAGAGTACTATGAAAATCTATATGCCAACAAATTTGAAAACCTGAGAAAGCTGACAAATTTCTAGAAACACACTAACTACCTAAACTAATCAAAAACTACAGTTTTCAGTATGGACTACACCTCAACATAAAACAAAAATCCTCTCAACTGAACCAATAAGCAACATCATGAGAAATGGAGAAAAGACTGAAGTTGTCAAGGATTTCATTTTACTTGGATCCACAATCAACACCCATAGAAGCAGCAGTCAAGAAATCAAACGACACATTACTTTGGGCAAATCTGCTGCAAAAGACTTCTTTAAAGTGCTAAAAAGCAAAGGTGTCACCCTGAAGACTAAGGTGCGCCTGACCCAAGCCATGGTGTTTTTAGTCACCTTATCTGCAAGCAAAAACTGGACAATGAATAAGGAAGACCAAAGGAGAATTGACACCTTTGAATTATGGTGTTGGCAAAGAATATTGAATATACCATGGACTGCCAAAAGAATGAACAAATTTGTCTTGGAAGAAGTACAGCCAGAGTACTCCTTGGAAGCAAGGATGGCAAGACTTCATCTCACATACTTTGGACTTGTTATCAGGAGGGATTAGTCCCTGGAGAAGGACATCATGCTTCTTAAAGTAGAGGGTCACTGAAAAAGAGGAAGCCCCTCAATGAGATGGATTGACACAGTGGCTGCAACAATTGACTCAAGCATAATAACAATTGTGAGAATGGTGGAGGACTAGGCGGTGTTTGGTTCTGTTGTACACAGGGTCACTATGAGTCAGAACCAACTTGACCTCACCTAACAACAACAAAAACAACCTAAACTAACACAAACTAAGGTAAAAAATCTGAACAGACCTACGACAAGAGAAGAGATTGAAAAGGTAATAAAAACTTCCAACAAAAAAAGCCCTGGCCCAGATGGCTTCACTGGAGAATTCTACCAAACATTTGGAGAAGCGCTTGCACCAGTACTACTCAAACAATTTCAGAACATAGAAAAGGAAGGGATACTTCCGAATTCATTCTGTGAAGCCAGCATAACCCTGAAACCAAACCAGGCAAAGACACCACCAAAAAAGAAAATTACAGACCAGTATCTCTCATGAATATAGATGCAAAAATTCTCAACAAAATTCTAGCCAATAGAATTCAGCATCATTTAAAAAAAAAAAAAAAAAAGCCACAACCAAGTGGGATTCATACCAGGTATGCAAGGATGGTTCAACATTAGAAAATCAATCAACGTAATCCACCACATAAAGGAAACAAAAGAAAAGAATCACATGATCATCTCAATTGACACAGAAAAGGCATTTGACAAAGTCCAACACCCATTCCTGATAAAAACTCTCAATAAAATAGGTATAGAAGGGAAATTCTTCAACATAATAAAGGGCATCTACACAAAACCAACAGCCAACATCATTCTTAAAAGAGAGAGGCTAAAAACATTCCCCCTGAGAACAGGAACAAGACAAGGATGCCCTTTACACCAGTCCTATTTAACATTGTGCTGGAAGTCCTAGCTAGAGCAATAAGGCAGGAAAAAGAAATAAAGGGTATCCTAATTGGTAAGGAAAAAGTAAAACTGTCCCTATTTGTGGATAATATGATACTATACATACAGAACCCAAAGGACTGCACAAGAAAACTACTGGAACTAATAGAAAGATTCAGCACAGTAGCCGGGTACAAGATAAACATACAAAAATCAGTTGGATTCCTATACACCAATAAAGAGAACAACGAAAAGGAAATCAGGAAAGCAATACCATTTATAATAGCCCCTAAAAAAAAAATACTTAGGAATACCAGGGACGTAAAAGACCTATACAAAAAAAAACTACAAAATACCAAGAAACCAAACGAGACCTACATAAATGGAAAAACATACCATGTTCATGATGAAATTGTCATTTTTACATTGTGAAAATGTCAATTTTACCCAAAACAATCTACAAATACAATGCAGTTCTGATCCAAATACCAACAACATTCTTTAGAGAGATGGAAAAACTAATTATTAACTTCATATGGAAAGGAAAGAGACCCCAGATCAGTAAAGCACTATTGAAGAAGAATAATAAAGTAGGAGGACTCACACTACCTGACCTCAGAAACTACCATACAGCTATAGTAGTCAAAACAGCCTGGTATTGGTACAAGGAGAGACACATTGACCAATGGGACAGAATCAAGAACCCAGATGTAAATCCATCCA